ATAAAATTAATTACTATAAAGTTCATTGACAACTAAATAAATTGCAGCAGTTTAATTCAGTTGTCAATAAACCTTGTATTAATTAATTTTTCCGTGTAGAACCTAGTTGTAATTCTTCCTAATAAAAATTACAAATGATAATTTTAAAGTATAAATACATATTTTGAAATATAAATTTAATACAAAAACATAAAATATTTCTATTTTCATTTTGAAAATAAATAAGGCTTAACAGGCAGTATGAGCTCATTTTTTTGAGGTTTAAACTGGTTACTGAAATATTAAAACTTTTAAAGCCGAAGCCTTAAAACAAAAAAAGCTTAAATAGGTAGCTTAACAAGGCCCATGTTCCTTAATCTAGTTCTCTGACTTGTGAACGTTTTCACCTAATCGACCTGTGCTATTTTTTTTTTTTCGCCCAAAACTTTTGCTATTTGAAGAAGGTAAAAAAAATAAAAAAAGAATACACCCCACTTTGCACTGGACATGAGCTTCCTTTCCCGTGTGGGGTCATAACTTGCGAGCAGGCGAGACTTGGGCCTACACTGAGTGGGCCTTCCATCTTCTCGCCCTTTCCCATAAATGGGTGAAATGCTTCTCCTTCGCTTCAAGGCTACAAACTCATCCTACATCTCCTCTATTTTAAGGCCCACAACCACCAAAATTGATGAGAGTCACAATCATGTGAAAAGGATAATCAATTTGTATATGTACACATAATGAAACAATTGTGAGGTTATATCAAATAAATATTAGAAAATCATCTTTAAATGTATAGGTTATAGTTGTAAAAGATTTGAAAAACTTTCAACCTTGTAATCACACGATAGATAGCTCGTACAGTTTGTTGTATAGGGTAATAGGGATTTGATGGACAATAGCCAATTCTTATCCAAGGTTGTTTATTGGTTATTTCTCCTTTTCTTTTCTTTAGGGTGGGTCGGATTCTATAAAAAATAACCTAGCACTAAAAATCATGTGATGCTGAAGAATCCTAAAATTAAAAATGGAATTAGAATAGGAATCCTTGTCAAGTATGCTAAGCACAACTTTAAAGAATCTTGATTCAAGCAAAAAAAGACAGAATTGGACTCTATCTAGATACACATGAATTAGTTGGATCTCAAAGAATTAATTTGTATCTCCACTTTTGCCCTCATCATCATCTCATCCACTCTCATCCCATGTTGATAAAATATATAATAAAACTTGTCACAAGTGAAATAAGTCACAATACAAATAGTGGATGCCCATTTGAGCCTTATAAGGTATGGGCCTCGATGAAACTTTAGGCCCAATATGAATTTGAAAAGCCTATAATCATCATCATCCTTGTTCCAGGAAAAAAAATCCTGATCAGAAAAATTAAAACTCAAGACAACACAAAGTATTGTAATGCATATAAATATAATTTCATTACTCTAAATTGAAAATTAAGAGGAGGAATAAAAAAAAGAATAGGAAAAGGGCAGAGGTGGCCTGAAAAAGAAGTAATAAGGGGAGATGAAGGGTCACGTGGGGGCATGTGAGTGGGAAAGGCAAGTTTTGTGGGGAAGACAGGGAGGATTGAAATTAAGATTGAATAGATTCGAGAGGGGTGATTTTGACGTGGAAATTGACCAGCACCATCCCTTAGGCTTCAAGGCTTTGGGCTTTTGAAAACCCAACCAAACCCAACCTCTCACCTCCCCTCTTCACATGATCCCTGACACCCTCTCACGTGCTCCCCGGGTCCCACCCCCAACCCCTTCCGAATTTATTAATTTTCACTTCCAACGACCATTAACTTATAATTTACTCCAATTTATTAATTATTAATGTTAATACTCCTACTACACTAAGAGCACCAGTACAAAATTAAAGCCACTAAACTAAAGTACTCAAATTGAGCGGGTTCTGACGGTGATAATTGGGTGTAAACAAACCTTATCCAGTCACCCCTTTCTCGTTAACCTTGGGATTAGAGCCTCATCCCTTCTCTGTCGGTGTGTCCTTTTCTACACTTGTTTAAGTTTTGCTCACTTCACACCTGTTTATAATTGCTTTTGACATATTTAACCCAGATTAAGTAAAAAAAGAAAACCCATTAATTGGGTTCAAAAATTTAGTAAGTCTTAAAACTTGTCCCGTTTTAATTTTATCCTTATCGTCACATTTCGATTTAATAAGTCTTAAAACCCATTAATTGGATTCTAAAATTAAAACTCGATATATAGGATACTGTTTATCATCACATTTCAATTTATTTTTATTGTAAATATAAATTGATTGCTATTTGTACACTATTTATTCTTATCGCCTTATTTTTAATAGAGGTAAATAAAGTTAGAAATTTTTTCGTTTGAAGGCATATTTATCAAATTAACTATCATTTTTGGTTCAATAAAGTAGTTGAAATCACCTTATAACAAGATTAGAAGGAGTATAATTTTTTCTCTTTTTATTATAAGATAAAACTACCATATGCTTCTTTATTTTTATAAGAAAAATTATAAATTTCAAAAAGCATTTATTATATTTTTGAAAAAAATATCAACTAAGGACTACTGGAGAAAATTTAGATCAATCAAAGATCACTTATTGTCAAAGTCAGAATGAATAATTGTTGATCAAGTTACTCATTTATCAACAAGTATTTATTTAAGTTTTAAAAATAATTTATTTTAAATAAATAGTAGGGCTTTTTTATTTAAATTTTGACAATAATTAATTAATGATTGATATAAATTTCATTTAGCAGTCCTTCGTTGATATTTTTCTTATATTTTTCTCAAATTGCATCTTATAATTAGGTAGTATTATTAAATCATAGAGAAAAATAAACATTAATTACAAGGACATTTTAATTTCAAATTTTTAATTTTAGACACAATTATTAGAATTAATCAACCTTTTAAAACTATGTGAGTGGGTTTAAATTTTCTCATATCTGGACAGAGGGAGTATGCTTTAGAATATATTTTTTTCTGCCCAACATTTAATGGTGTAAAACAGAAAGTTTTATAATAAAAATTGATGATATGATTTATAAATATGAAAAAAAAATCTTCTCCCATGTCCTTGTACATGGGAGTGGTTTATTGATTCACTGCTTAAATTAATTTATTAATTTCACTTTTTTTACCAATAAAAATAAATTAATTTCACTTATTCAATTAATCTGAAATTGAATATATCTAATGTGCATCCTGCCACTTAAAAATGTAAATGCAATCATTTTTGGAATATTATATGTATATAGAAAAATTTGAAATTTCGAAAGTATTTTTGGCATTGCAGGAAAAATCAAAATGGGAAAAGGAAAATACATGAAAATTGGGAATGCTAGACCGTGATCTTATTACCAAGCAAAGTCTTTATTTAAACAGAGAAGAAAGAGGAATGAGAAAAAAAACAGGGGAGGTGACAGGAGAGGTGAGATTAAAGTGAAAATGAGGTGGCCAGCCACGTGGAAGAAATCAGGGCCGTCGACTCCATGAGGTTGAGCTGTAAGCATCGTGCAAAAACGTGAACAAGGGAATATAATAACAGGTAATGATAGGGTAGAATTAGCAAACCCACCATTAATTAATTAAAACCTAATTTATTGCAATAAATCATAAAGTTATTAGGAGGCAACAATTTGCACAGGTCCCGAAGCATTAAAATTATTAGGAGCAGAGGAATCCTAGTGTAAACTCAGACACTACAGGAGGACTCGCAGCGGCAAAATCTGCAAAGAGATGGTAGATCATTGTAAATTAATTACAGCTTAATCATTGTTAATTAATGTGATTATTGAATAATTACTGGGAAATCTTGTTGTGTATGGACGGGACTAAATGGTAGCACAGTTCAATGGATGATATACTAGTTGCTGCTTTTTTCGGGATCAGAAAACTGATTTGTTAGAGAAAGCGAGTATAGTGTGGAGTATGGTGTTATCTTTCTACGTGACAGCCCACCATTGTGCTTCTCACTCGCCAATTAGATTCCTGATTACCACGCCACATGATCGCTATTCATTGCCTCAACTACACCTTCCCTTTTTGTCTTTCATTTTTGCTTTCTATTCAAGCTAGTTACTTGTACATAATGTCTCTCTCAAGATACACAAAATAATAAGTAGGCTTTTTTCAATTAAATTATTACATAAAAGTGGTAATTTATGATAAAAACCTCTACTGCTTACGTCAATTGTAATTAATTTAACATGGTACATGTAATTGATATAGTAACCAATGAAACAATTCAATTTTTTTTTCACACAACCTTCTTTTATTTATGGTCATATCTAATTATAAGAATTTTCTTAATGTGATTTTTTTCCTATTAATAAAATTTGAATCCTTTACTTTACATATACCTAACTTGATCATCGGCATGGCTTGTAAATGGTAAGATAGCTTATGTTTTATAAAAATTCAAAACACAACTCCCCCCCCCCCAACAAAAAAAAAAAGCACATGTATATGGATATTTAAATGGAAATGTCTGTTAGTTGTAACATATTGAATGATCCTAGTATCTTTTCATGTAAATTAATTCTTATTTTTTTTCCCCTTGATGAAACCTTCAAATTCATTTACTTCTCATGCACATAATTGGGGCCACCTTAGATTTGTTGCTCACTTGCTTAAATTGGATAAGCATTGCATATGGTTTCCCATTAATTCATCATGCAACGAGAATTAAACACATTATTTCTACTAATTTTTTGTCATTGAATTTTGAAGTAAATAAAAAAAGTTTTGAAAATTTGAAAAGATGGTAGTCCTCCCCCAGGTGGGGGGCAACGATTACTTGTCCAAAGTAAAAGAGGGAAGGGAAAAAGGGCAAAAAAGTAAGGAGCTAAATAAAGAAAAATAAAAGTGTTTAATTAACTTTACAGAACTTGCAAGTCACTTCCTATTATTATATCTATATATTGCCTGCATGAAAAAAGATGCTCCAGTGTCCCGTATTTACATTTTTGCCCTTCCATTCCTCCTCAAAAACCCACCCCGGCACCCCAGCTTCCCTCCTGTCTACTCTCTCTCTAAGGGACGCCATACTTCTCCTCTCTCTCTAAATAACTGCACTCTCTCTCTCCAGCTCAGAGTCAGTCTCTCTGAACGAACGTTATATGTTAATGGAAGTGCCGGAGTACTTTGTCGGTGGCTATTTCTCTGCCGGAGGAGATCAATTCTCGCCGGAGAAGCGCCATGGTGCTGACCAGAAGCCTGGTGAGCCCTTCGCCATTGACGACCTCCTTGACTTCTCCAACGCCGACGCTATGATCATGTCCGACGGTTTCTTCGACAATGCCGCCGGCAACTCCACTGTCACCGCCGTTGACAGCTGTAATTCGTCCGTTTCGGGCGGTGACAATCATTTCTCCTCTGGCAACGCTGGCTCCCGCGGCTCTGGCGATCCTCAATTATCCGGAGAACTCTGCGTTCCGGTAATTCACGGTTTTCACGTTCACTAACTTTTGGAATTTAAATTTAAATTTAAATTCCATTTCTTCAACCGTAAATTCCATTTCTTCGTAGTGCTGATTTTTAAACGAAATCATTTTATTTTTACACTTAAAACTGACTACAATTTTCGAACTAGTTCTACACATTGATATAACTCACGACGTACGAGCGTGATTTCTACCAATTCGGTCATTAAATTATAATTTATTTAAGAAATGAAGTTTCGACTAGTTTTAACTTTGGCGTGATAATTTAAGAATTGATTTGGTTCTTCTTGTTCGTGATTCGATAGCAGTACGACGACTTGGCTGAACTGGAATGGCTATCGAACTTCGTGGAAGACTCATTCTCGGTCGAAGATGAGCTACAAACACTCCACCTCATCTCCGGCACCACTTCTTCCGCCATCGGCACGAAGCCTCAGACACCAGAGTCCTCCTCTTCCTCCGAAACACTTCAACACTTCGCCGCTGACACCGCTCGAAACGCACCGCTTTTCCATCCAGAAACTCCGCTTCCGGGTAAAGCTCGCAGCAAGCGTACAAGAGCTGCCCCCGGGGATTGGTCTACTCGCTTCCTCCACCTGATCACCCCAACGGTCGTGCCGGAACCGGCTCAAGCGAAGGCGGCGGCAAAGAAAAGAGAGAGTTCGAATTCGGAGTACTCTTCGGGTAGGAAATGCCTGCATTGCGCCGCCGACAAGACTCCACAATGGCGGACGGGACCAATGGGCCCGAAGACGCTGTGTAATGCTTGCGGAGTGCGTTACAAGTCCGGAAGGCTGGTGCCGGAGTACCGACCGGCTGCGAGCCCGACTTTTGTGTTGTCAAAGCACTCTAATTCGCACAGGAAGGTGATGGAGCTGAGGAGGCAGAAGGAAATGCAGAGGCAGCAACATCAACAATTGGTTAGCCACAATTCAATTTTCGGCGTTTCTCACGGGGAGATGAGTTCCTGATCCCCCGCCCCACTGGTCCAGATTACAGGCACATGATCTAGTAAGTTCCAGAGACTGAGTAGTGTAATTTAGGATTATTGGAGAAGAATTAACAGAGCTTCAGGCTCCGCATTCAAAAAACTTTTTTTCTTTTCTCTTTTGAAGTGAAAATTTTTGTCTTATAAATTTGATCAATCTGTAGTTTTAGCAGTACAATTCAGTACAATTCAGAGAAGCAAAATGAGATTAGGTTTGAAGGACATGGAAGAAAATAGAGGAAGCTAAGATCAGCTTCTTTTGAATGCAGAATCCATCAATGTCTTATATTTGATTTGTGTTCTTTGCCGAATTTGGCAACGTTAAGAAATGTCAAAATTTAATCTTCAAATTCTTAAGAAATCAACAAATAATTCTATCCATCACAAGTGAATAAACTCTTCAAGAGCTTACGCTTTTATAATTAGAAAGTGTAGCTGAAATGTCAAGCCACTGATCAGCTAGAAGAGAGCTAAGAAATAAATAAATATATATACTACCTTAATTTTATTTATAAAGCATTTTTAACATGTTTTACTATAATTAAAAAAAATTTTAAAATTAATTAATTTATTTAAATATTTAATAATTTCTCAACTTTACTCTTATTAAATATATATATATATATTAATAATATATTTTCTCTTTCTAACATTCATTGAAGGTTAAATGAAAAAATTCATAATGAAAATTTAATAAAGTGATTTACAAATAAGATATAAAAAAATTCTCTCTCTATTTTATAAATAAAATCAGAAAGAGTATACATACAAGATGGTGGACGTAGATTTTTGTTCCCCCCTCGTGGTTCTGAAATCACAGAGCTTCACAAAAAACTGAAAAAGAATGAAGCCAAGGATTGGCACGCACCGTCGCACTAGTATGGGCGGTCCTTTTCTTTTTGCGTGTTATATTTAAAAAGGTGGTTGAGTTCACATAATGTCATAATGTGTGATCAATTGGTAGAAACGAGACAACGCATATGCGGTAGCTCATGTTTTAGGAAAACAGGGGTTTTGAAGTCATTATCAATAACTCTCTTAGAAATGAGTAATTAATTAAGGAAATGAACGCATTATTAACATTTCAATATACATTGAAAGTTAAACCCACATGACCACCACAGATGAACATTCATTCATCGATTGGATGGATTACGGAAAGATGAGTAGCCAAATTAACCGGAAACACACACATCAAAGGAAATGATGATGAGGACGAAGAATATGAAATGAAATAGAATGAATGTACATGGGAGTGCGTAAAAGAGAAGCATGTAATGATACACACTCTCTTGGCTCTTATCCCAGGCACTCTGCATCCTGGAAATAAAAACTTACCTAAATTTTAAGGTGCCTAATTAAAGTATCAAATTGTATTCTATTTTTATCCTATAAATTTATTATCTTTCATGTAATTTGAACAAGGTAAGATGATGCTCCCTTCAATTATTAATGATATAATTACAATATTATTAGGATGCTTTTGAACAGACAAAGTAATTAATCTAATAATTTTTCTTAATCCACGGAGAAATTGCTTCAATCACCTTATATACTTTCCCTGTCCTATTAAAAAATATTTTTATATTATTAAATTTGTTAAAAGCATTCATGATTTTAATTTTTACCCTCATCAAATCCTTCCTTCACAGTTCACAAGGTCAGTAAATAAAAGTACGGAGGGATAAAAAGCAAAAGCTATTATTATATAAGATTGCAAAACATATTATATTTTAAATCAACCAAAATCTTCTTAAAAAAAAAATTCTCTCGCCGATTGTCACCTTTTAAAAGAATTTTATTATACTGAATATAAGTATTTTCACAAGAATTTGTGTAACGTTTATTGTTTTATTTTAAACATGACTTTTTTTTTCTCAAGTTCTAACAAGAAGATAAAAAATGTCTATACTATTTAAAATTTATAATATTTATTAGAGATGAAAATAAAAATAATTTTTAGACAATTTTAATAATATAATTAATTCTTTGAATTTATGTAAATTAGTTATAAATGACTTGTATAATAAGAAAATGAGTGAGTACCTTGGTTATAAACTGGATAAGAGGCAGTACTCCTCCATCTAAGGAAAATTTGAAGTTTTCAGATATAAAATACTTTAATAAAAATAAAATTTTATTAATAATTTTTTTAATATTATCCTTTACATTATATTCTTTCATTAAATCGACTATTAAATAAATAATATTTTTAAAGTTAATATTTTTATTTTCAAAAAAAATTTATAAAATATATTTAAATTTTTTTATCAATATATATAATTTTATTTAAAATATTTTATAAATTGAGATTAAGGAAGTAATATATAAGAAGGAGATTAAGAGGCAATGGAACGTGGGAAGGTGAAGAGAAAGAAGGGTCATGTGAGAGCGAGCGAGCGAGATTGAAATAAACAAAGGGAAGAAGTAGGTAGACATCGAGCGGTGACATAACTGCCCACCCCATCCTCGACGCTTCCCCTTCCTCGTGGGCTCCATTCATTCAGTACTATTTTTCTTCTCTTTTTTTGATTTTATTAATATTTCTCTAGTTTTTTTTTTTAAATATCCCTCCTTCCTACCACCACCTCATACATATATATTAATTGCAATTGCAGTATATTTAAAATTAAATTAATCATTGGACTCGTCAATATATTAGTTTAGAAATTAATAATTAAAATTATAATTAAATTATAATTAAATTAATTATAAATAAAATATTTTATTAAACTAATTAAAATATTGATTTCATGATTCAATTGAGATTTTCATACTACGATTAATTACACTCAATCATTGAACATTACTATCCTCTCTTGCTTTTCCACACCCTTTCAACGCTACAAATATGTGTCCTCACACCTAAGTCCCTTTTTATACTTGTTTCTTCATCAAATAGAGAACCAAGTGTAAAAAGTACATTCATTTTACAATAGCTTACTAAGCTTTTGAAAATTTCTCTCTATGCAATTACTCTATACTTTAATTTTCTCATGCCATGTATAAACACATTGACCTCATATCATTACAAAAAATTGACTTTTTAAAGTGAAAAAGTTGTCGTTAAAATTTTTCAGTGACAATTTTAAAATAAAAAAACTACTACTAAAAGTTTTTAATAGTAATAAGAAGTTATTGTAATGTTGTTGTGAGAACTTTTATCACTAATTTTTGTACGATAACAATAAAAGTTATTGTTAAAAGTTAAACATTGACAACAAATGTTGTTGCAAAAATTACCTACCAACTATGTTACTTATCGTATATAAACTTTACCACATGGCACCACATCACTATTGCATGATGCCTTTAGCCCCCTACCTTATGACTTGTGTTGTGAGTCACCCCTACATTTTTGTTTAGCATATTGCTTCAAATTGCTCTTTCCACAATTGAAATTTTGGCCTCCTTCATTTGTATCTAACCATTTTGTTATTGAATTAAAAATGGGCCTGTGGTTTGTTATTGCATAATATTATATGTATATATATATTACAAAACCCAACAAACACACATACACTCATATAAATAGATATCATTTATTATATAATTAAATCATATGCATATATTTTAAATGTTAAATATTGTAAAATATTTTTATTGCTATTGCTAGATACTTTAATTTAATTTTTCAATATAATAAAATTTTAAATTATAATTTTTACTTATATGAAGTAAAATATGGATATATAATTGATACAATACCATTCATATTATTCATTTTAATTTTTGTCTTGTACTTATTGAAGTTATTATATTATTTATTTTAATATTTATATTTATAATTATAAATCTTAAAATATATCTAATAATAAAAAATAATATAATTATATATTAGAGCCTAATTATTTAGTTTTCTAGCTAGGTTTAAAATTTTATGTTTACTTTCAATCAATAATAACTCCCAGGTAAAGATATTGACTTGGTTTTATATTGCATTTTCATTCTTAATTAAATTTTATTTTTAAATTATGATTTTATAAGAAATTTATACACTATATTATCTATTTTTTTATATTTATGTTTTAAGATAGTATCAAGCAAAAAAATCATGTAATACCACATAAATATATTTCATAGATAATTTGAATGTATAAATTAAACGTGTAATTTGAATTAAAAAATTAGATTAGTTCAAATATTATAGATAGATAAATAAAATTAACAATCAAGTGTCTAATTAACATAAACAAGTAATGTTATTATTTAAAATATAAATTTAATTATAAAATGCATGAAAATAGAAAATTATTACTACAATTTATGCATTCCAAATTAAAAGTTATACTAGAAATTGGTTTTTGGACGAATTTATTATTTTATATAAAGGTATGCATTGACCAATCAATTTGTTTTGGTGTTGAATCGACCAAAACCAATAAATCAAACTAAACCTAAATAGTTGGACTGAATAATTTAGCTCAATATTTAGTCCCACTTATTATCATTAAACAATACAGCATGTTTAATGTCTTAAAATATTTTCATTATTTTTTTGTCTTATAAAAAATAGTTTCATTTATTTAAAGTGTCAATTTAATCATAAAATATATAAAAATGGAAACTCATTATTTTATTTTATTTATTCATCATAAAATTACAGTAATATAAAAAATTGATGTCTTAGTTAAATATTATATTAAACAAAAGATAAAAAAAATATATTTAGGAATGAAAAAATGATGACGATGAAGTCTAATTACTATTAAATATCACGCTCTTGATGGAATTAAAAGTCAAACTTTTAATGGTAGAGTCACTTTTAAAAGTGTATTAATTGACCTTTTGTGATAACATTTAGAGTTGTCATTGAAATTCAATCGATTAATGGTGACTTTTTAAACTTACTATTAAATATAAAACTTTTAGCAATGACTCTGACAATTTGCTGTTGAAAGATTGACTTTCAATGACTATTTTAAATATCACCTATCATACTTTTAGGCTTTTTAGTTTTTAGTATTGTCATTGAAAGTTTGTTTTTTGGTAGTATTATTCTTGATTATATTGATCTTACTAAATTAATTTCTTTATATTGATCATATTATTTCTTCATGCGCGTTAAATGAAACACGTTGTATTTAGCACGTATTAAACGAGTTTCAATATTATTCATATGTTTAGCATACATTATTTAGGTTTCCAAAAAATTGATGCTTCTGACCTCAACTTCAGCAAAGAAAATGAGTTTTATCCCATATTTTGAAACATTTAATTATATTTCACCCCCTTTTGCATAAAAACTATTTTACCTCCTCTTT